TATTATATTTATTTGAAATCGTCTTTTTTTTTTATTTTTATTCTTGTCTCTGTCTGTCTGTTTCTCTCTCTCTCTCTTTTCTCTCTCTTAAAAGACAATTCGATAATAAGTCGAAGGAAAATTTTGTTTTTCGCAAAACGAATTTAATAAGTTGATGGATTGTAAGTTTATAATAGGTAGAAGCATTCGCAGCATCCACATTTTATTAATGATTATTAATCGTTTTTATATTTTTTTACTTTTGTTTTCAACGGTTCGTTTGTTCCTTTTTCTGTTGTTATTATTATCGTCGGGGTGGGAGAGGGGAGTGGCGGGGTGGGGGAAAAAAAAAAAAAGAAAAACGGGTTAAAAAACAAGTGAAAAAATATTATCGTTCAAAGGATTTTTAATATTAAATCGTAGGCTGCAAAACAAAAAAAAAAGGCCGAAGGTTGAAAAAGTGAGAGAGAGAGAGAGAGAGAGAGAGAGGGGGGGGAGGGGGAAGAGAAAGACAAAAAAAAGGGGGAAAACGAAAAAAACCCTCGTAGGTTTAAAAATAAAAAAAAAAAAAAAAAAAAAAACAATTTCAATCTTCAATAAAACTTTTTTTTTTTTTATTTTATTTTATTCCGACCTCATTTTTTGTTGTTGTTGTTGTTGTTGTTGCTGTTGTTGTTGTAATTCGTTTGTTTTCGATTTGGTTCGTTAATTGAAATTTTTATGATAAAAAAAAAAAAAAATTTAAATATTTTTTTTTTTTTACCTTAATAAATTGTTTTCTCATTTGTTTTTGATTTTTTATTTATTTATTTTTTTTTGCGGTTTTTCGTTGTCGTTCGGATAGAGGGGAGGAGTGGAAGAAGGAGAAGGAAGGAGGGAGGAGAAAAATAAAAATAAAAACCGCAAATTATTATTTCGATTGCGTAGGGGGAAAAAAAAATGCGTCGTTTGAATACGGACGGAGAATCATCATCGAATTAAAAATCTCTTCATGGTTTACCTTGTTTTGGCGAATTTATCCCCCTCCCCTTCCCGTACCACTCTCACTTCTACCCACTCCCCTCCCATTCCCATCACTCATCGGCCGCGGAAAAGTTTAAACGTGGGTTTAAATTCAATTTTTTTTTGTGGGGGGGGGAGGGGAGGGAGCTTGGGCTTGCATAATGCGTTGTAGGTTTTTTTTTTTTTGTTGTTGCATTGTTGTTTGTCTTAATTGACGAGACCTTGTGAAATGAGTACGCGTGATATATCTCTCAATTGGAATTATGCAAATTCCGAATAACAACTAGTTTTTTTTTTTTTTTTTTTTTTTTTTTTTGTTATCAGGTTTAGTAGGTTTTTAGGCGTAGCAAATTTAGATTATTATTATTATTATTACTTTTTTTTATTAATATTTTCGTTAAATTTGTTTTTTTTTTTTTTTTTAATTTCAAAACAAACCCGTTTGTTGTTGTTGTTGTTTTATTTAATTTTTTTTTTAAAACGGGAGGGAGAAGCGAAAGGGGAGACGCGGGGAGGGGGAGGTATGTAAAAAAAAAAAAAATTCGTTCATTCGTTTCTTAAATTTTTTCAATTTCTTGTTACACTTTAAATTGTTCAAATTGTTTACGATAACACCGTTGACGTAAATATTGTTGTTATTATTATTATTAGAAATTTTGCCGATGGCATCATTATTATTTTAAATTTTTTTTTTTTAAATCCGAAAATATCGAATGATTTGATTTAAATTTTTTTTCTTTTTCCCCCCAATATCAAATAAAATTTAATGGAATCATAAATTTTTTTTTTTTTTTTACCTAAGGTATTATTAAAATTTATAACAATTTATATATATTTTTTTTAGGGTTGTAAACTTTAAAGAAAAATTTAAAGTTTACAACCCTTAAAAAAAAAAAAAAAACTATTAAATTTAATAATGCACGAAATAATAAAAAGAAAAAAATTTTTATGGGAATCAATGTTATTATCGTTTTTTAACGTTACGTCATCAAATTTTTTTTTTTTATAAACGGTTGGTTTGGTTGAAAACGAAAACAAATCGATCGATAAAGATTAATAAGTAATAATGTTTATTTATTTATTTATTTATTTATTTATTAACTAACTATAATGGTATTTTGTTATTAAAATAAATAAATTTGCAAATGCGTATAAAACCGCCGCCGTCGTCGAGAGATGATTATTTATTTATTTTTTCTTATTTTTTACTTTATCGATTTTAATTATTAACGTATCGATTAATTAGTTTTTAATTCATTTGAAAACGTGTCACGTGATGTGAGTTTGTTCGCGTGTTCGTACACGTGTTTAATAATTCACATATGTTTGTATATATATTATTATTTTTTTTTTATTAATGAAATATCCGGTCTAAGAAAGGTTTTTGATATTATTTATTACGTTTTAATTTTACACTTGATCAAATTTTGATTTCCCCGCTCTCCTCCCCCCTCTCTGCCCCCTCTCTCTTTCTCTAGACGTTTCAAACCTTTTTTCTGTAATAAAATTTTTTTTTAATACGCTCACGCAAAAAGGTTTATATTTATAAATATATCTACGTGTGGGAAAAAAAGGTTTCGAGATATTAAAATTATTTATTTATTTATTTTCCCCTTCTCCCGGCCCCCCGACCCCCACTTTCAAGGATGTCTCAATTTTTTTTTTTTCTTCAAAAAGAAAATTATATTTACATTAATAAATTTTATGTTTATTTTATTTAAAAGAGAGAGAAAAAAAAAGGTTTATTGAAAAAAAGGATTTTTGGATTAATTCGAAAAAAAAAAAATTAATTAATTAATTAGGATGATGTTGGTTAATGGATGCGTTTTTATAATTACGTAATAGAATTTTCTAGAAGGAGAGAAAAGAAAAACGATATAGTAATAAAGTATACGCGGTGTGTGCGTGTGTGTGTGTGGGTGCGTGTGTCATCATGAGGTGACGGGGAACGGACGCGTATATAAATAAATAAATTAATAAATTAATTTTTCCGTTATTTTTTTTTTCAGCTAAAAAACAAAATGGAGCAGCGTTGAGAACAAATAGTTTAGGTTCGACAATTAGAACTCCTGCCCTAGAAAGAAAAAGTAAATTTTCAGCATTAGGAAGATTATTTAAACCGTGGAAATGGAAAAGAAAGAAAAAATCGGAAAAATTCGAAGCCACTTCCAGATGTGAGTTTTCTTTTATAAATTATTATTAATATTTTCCCCCCCCCTCCCCCGACCCTCTTCGATTTTCATTTTTTTTTTTTTTTTTTTTTCAACGGATTTGTATGATAATTTCGTCTCGGATAAAAATGGAATTTTTTTTCCCTTTCTCTCTCTCACTCTCTCACTCTCTTTTTTTCCTTTTTTTCCTTTTTTTTTTTTGAAGTTTTTCCTTTGTTTAAAATTGACAAAATCAACCGGATATAAATCTATTTTAATTGAATTATTGATTTTTATTTATTAAAAAAAAAAAAAAAAAAGAAAAATGGAAAATTAGTTTTCCAGCTTTTCCAGCGTTAATTCACGTAGTTGTTGTTGTTGTTTTAACTTTAATTAATAGAAATAATTTTTTTTTTTTTAAATATTTTCCGGGATTTTGTCATAAAATTTCTTCATTTTCTCTTTCTCTCTCCTCCCCCTCTCCCTCTCTCTTTTTACAACGAATGAAATTATCATTTCCGGTCATTAAATCTCGAATTCGTTTTTCGTTTTCGTAGCTTCTTCTTATTATTTTTCAACCTAATAATGGCGGTATTGTTAACGATTGATAAGGAAAAAAAAAAATTTTAAATACGAAGGTTAAGCCTTCGAAAGGTTTTCGATAAATAATTTATTATTATTATTATTATTATTATTATTATTTTTTGCGGTTGTTTAAATGTTAGTTTTTTTTTTTTTTTTAATTATTAAGTTCAGGGTTTTTGTAATTTCATCTTGAGGCGGTTCACAAAACGCTCGATCTCAATCTTGGAAAATTTTCCGCGTTTCGTCTTTTTATTCTTTTTTTTTTTTTTTTAGGTTTCGTTTCGTTTATTATTTATTTATGTATTTATTAATATTTAAAAAAATTTTTTTTTCATATCACGAGTAGGTAAAAAAAAAAAAAAAATTGAAATTATTTATCCGAAAAAAAATCGATATTCGATAACTAAATATAAAATGTCTCCTTGTAATATTCCATTCATTCAATTTCACGTTCGAACATGAATTTTATTATTATTATTATTATTATTTTAATACGCTTCGTCGTCCCAATTTTAAGGTTCGTTTTCTTTTCATTTTCATTTTCTTGTCTACACACTTTTTTAACCTATTTATTTATTTTTTTTCCGATAATAAATAATGTTTAAATTTGATCCGACGACAAGAGGAAGAAAATTTTTTTTTTTTTTTTTTAATATTATTTTTCAAACTAATGGATTTTTATTTAATTTAACTGTTAAAAAAAAAGGGGGGGAAATTTTCCTTTCACGTCTTTTTTTTTTCCTTTTTTTTCCCTTTTTTTCTTTTTTTTATTAAAATTTTACGAACGTCGAAAAAAAAAACGAAGTTAAAAATCTTTAAAAATGTGAATATTATTAATGTCGCGTTAATATTGAAAGGATGGAAAAAAAAGAGAATGAATAAATGATCCGGAATAAAAGAATCAATGAAAGGTTTTCTTTCTTAAATGAAAGAAAAAGAAGAAGAAGAAGAGGAGAAGGAGGAGGAGGGAAAAAAACGGGATGAATGTGGGAAATTGTGTCGAAGGGAAAAAAGAAAAATGTGTGCGAAGAATGAAAAGAAAAAAAAATAAAAGAAAAATGTCAGGTTTCCTCGAGGTTTTTTTTTTTTTTTTTTTTTTTATTCGATGGATATTATTATTATTATTATTATTGAATGATGATCGTCTTTATGTCTGTGGTTGTTGTTTGTCTTCTTGACCTATCGTCATTTATTACGTTGTCATATCATTAACGTAAAATGATTTTTTTTTTTTTTTTTTTTTTTTAGCACTGGAAAGAAAAATTTCCGTCCGTGCCAATCGTGATGAGTTGGTCCAGAAGGGCATTCTTCTTCCGGACAGTCCGTCCTCGCCCTCATCACTACTCATAAATTCTTCAGGTAATTATTATTCGCAACAAAAGAAAAGAAAAGATATATTTAGTTTTTTTTATTACGTCATGAGACTCGAATAATAAATCCATTTGAAACGTCGGGTAAAATCCGTTCGGCAAAAGTCGTTTCGTTTTTAAATAAATTGCATACGATTGCAAACGAGAACAACGGGAAGGGGAGGGGGAGGAGAAGGAAATTTTCTATTTCTAAGCCAAAAAAGGAGTAAAAGGGGATAATAAAATACGAGAAGGGAAAAGAACGGAAAAGAGAAAGAGAGTTTAAAAGAAAAGAAAATTCCCCGCTTTTTAAATGTAAAATCTCGTAAGGTTTTCTTTTTTTTTTTATATAAAAGCCCTCTGGCGGAAAATTCTCGTATTAAATAAATCTCATCTGTTTTAACTTATTATTAAATAGAGGGATCCTTTCGTGAACTTGTATTGGATTTTTTTTTTGTACGCCATGTCATGTTTGATTTTTTTTTTTTTTTTTTTTTTTTTTTTTGCTTTTCCCAGGTGGAGGAGACATGCCACCTTTATATAGTTCTAATAACGGTCCAGCTACTACTGTGCCGCTGTCGCCGCGAACGCCTACCGGCCAATATACCTGTCCGACAACGACTCAAGGTAAATTGATTCATTAATCATTTTTTTTTTTGTGCAGTACATGCAAAACAATTTTTTTTTATTTGTTATCAAACTGCGTTCGTGTTGTGGTGGTGGTGGTGGTGGTGAAGGGGAAGGGGGGGTAAAATTTTAACGTCGTTAAATTTTGTCGTGGCAAAAGAAATGGAGGCGTGGAGAGATGAATGGATGGACGTTGTATGTGGAAAATTTTGCGTGATGGGCAAATTTGAACTTCCTCTCTCGAGTATTTAAAAACTTTTCATGCATTTTAATTATATTTCAACTCTCGCCAAATATTTTTTTTTATTTTTTTTTCTTCCGACGGGAAAATTTTAACCAAATAATAATAATAATAATAATAATAATAATAATAATAATAATAATAATAATAATAATAATAATAATAATAATAATAATAATAATGATAACGTTTTGAATAATCAAATTGTATTTTTTTTTTTTGTAAAAGAAAGAAGGGAAGAAAAAGGCTGAGGGAGGAGGGGGGGTCAAATTTAACTTTTCCATTGATTTCGAATTTAAATTTCTTTTCCGTTGATAAAAATTTTAGAATGAGAGAGAGAGAGAGAGAGATAGAGATAGAGAGGTTTTTAATTTCGAAAATTTGTGAAATTCGCGAACGTTTTTGATATCGTCGTGAATTTCAAAGGTCTTTCCTTCATTTTATCATTATAATTTTTTTTTTCTTTTAATCCGCCCCGCCCCCCTTCCCGTTTCCCCGATTTAATAAAAATTTTTGCGGGTGGGAAAAATCCATTCCGTTTCCGAAAGAATTTCCACGAATTTTAATTATTATTATTATTATTATTATTCAAACCTTTGATGATTTGCTCTCGGGTACGTTTTTGATTTATTTACTTTTTTCGTTTTTCCGGGTTTTCCCCCTCCCACCAAACAGCAATATTTATAATTTTCCTCTTGGCAAAAAAGGAAAGAAAAAAAAAAAAAAAAAAGAAAATTATTGCGAATATTAAAGGGAGCGAATGAATGAATGAATGAATGAATTAATAAAAAATTCAGGTTCGGCCGCCGGTTAAAAAAATTTTTTTTTTTTATTTGTGTGTTGTGTTTCGTTAATAAAACCTTTTTTAAAACCTTTTTTAAAAAGGTTTTTTTTTTTATATTTATATTTTTATAAATTTTTTTTTCTCGTAAAAAAAAAAAAAATTAAAACGAAAAAGTAAAGGAGAGAGAGAGAGAGAGAGTTTGTGTGAATTTATGATTTGAGTTTTTTTTTTTTTTTTTTTTTTTTTTATCCAAGTCGAAATGGCGCCCATTTTAGTTTTCTCTTCATCGCGTCGACTCAAAATTTTCTGTTTTCAGTTTTCAGTTTTCGATGAAAAGCGAGTGAAAAATTTTCTTTCTTTCTTTCTTTCTTTCTTTCCTTCTTTTTTCTTTTTTATTTTTTTATTTTTAAATTAATTTCCGTATTAATTTTTTTTACAAATTTTTTTTTTTTATTTCGTGTTTTGATTTTTTATTATTATTAAAATAAAAGAAAAAAATAGAGAGAGAGAGAGAGAAAAAGAAAGAGAGAAAGAAAGAAAAATAATTATTTTAATTTATTTTATTTTTAAATATTGCATTTTTTTTTTTTTTTTTACCGCACTAATAAAGGCCGCCGCGCAGTTTTCGCAGTGTGTTGTTGTTTGTTCGTTCGTTCGTTCGTTCGTTTGTTTGTTTGTTTGTTTTAATTTCAATCGAATGAAAATGTTGTAAATTTTGTTGTTAAGTATTGGTACGCGTGTGAGTCGTAAAACATGTGAAAAATCATTATTATCGTTATTGACGTTATTTACTTACGCATTTTTTTTCGTTTGAATCGCGGATTCAATGAAAAGTACGACGACGACGACGACAATAACAAAAACGACAACAGCAACAGCAACGACGATGACGACGACAAAAAAAAAAGAAACAAAGGGTTTTCCCCGTGAAAATTTTTTTTGTTTTTTGTTTTATTTTTTCTTATTGGAATTGTTGCAAAGGAAATTTTCTTTTATTTTTATTTTCGTAAACATCATTAATTTTTTCTTTACCCATCCATCCATCCATTCATTCATTCATTCATTCATTCATTCATTCATTCGTTCGTTATTTCAAGAATTTTTTTACCTTTTGAACGAATCGTTTTATCATCGTAAATGATGATTATAGTTTTTTAGGTAACGAACCTTAAACTTTCCATACGATTTTCTTTTGTATTTTTCTCTCTCACTTTCCTTGCGCCCCCCTTGGCCCCTTGGTCCCCTCTCGCCTTACAATTTGTGTCCCTGAATGTATATATTCGTTTTGATATTTTAATATTTGAGGGAAGGAGGGAGACTAAATTGTGGAAAATTAATTTCGTTCCAAGATTTTTTTTTTTTTTTTTTTTTGAAATTTACAATTTGCCCCGCGTTCTATTTTCTCTCTCTCTCTCTCTCTCTCTCTTTCTCTCTTTATATTTTTTTGTATTTTATAGTCTTTAATTGTTATTCATTCCTCACTGGCTTTGGATTTTTTTTTCTCTCTCTCTCTTTCTCTCTTTAATTCCATTCTGGAAAATTAAAATCGTGGGAATTTTTCTTTTTCTATTTTTAAAGTTAATAAATACGTTGGGAGCGTAGAGGGAAAAAAAAAAAAAATATTGTCATAAAAACTTTGCGGGGGCAAAGGGCGGGGGCGGGAGCGCGGGGGGGCGGAGAGGAAGAAATGTGACGTGAATTTTTATTAAATATTTATTTACTCGTTTATTTTTATTTAATTTAAATGTAATGTGAGTTATTCGTAATCCTTTTTAAATTGGGAATTAATATAATAATAATAATATTGATGATGATGATGATGATAATTCCCTGCGTTCTATATAAAAAGCGAATTAAAAACGATTAAATTTTTTCTAATAATAATATTTATTTATAAATAAATGTAAGAGGAAATTTATCTTTATTATTATTATTAACTTGTTTCGATTTAAAAAAAAATAATAATAATAATAATTTTTTGAAGGATTTAATGAGGTCGGGCGATTTGATGCGGTTTTAAATTCGTTCGGAAAAATTGCCACATTATTATTATTATTGTCCACCATTAAACACAACAAGGCTACTTGTCGGGGTTTTTTTTTTTAAGTATTTATCCGAGGTTTCTACCCGATTCCTTAGAAACAAATACTCGAATTTCGGTGGTGCCACTTATTATAAGATAGCACCACATCAATTCTTGAAGGTCTTCCTGAGTCCATCTTTTATTCGATGGGAACGATTTGTCTCCTGAACTGGGCTCCAGTGACTAACATCTTTGGAGTGGCCAAGGTCAGAAGCAGTGAAATTCACATTCTCGTCGAGCTGCCTCAGGTCGACAGTAGAACAAGATTTGTTTTTGGTTCTTACTTTGTCTTGTTCTCATTTTTTTTTTTTTGCTCTTTTTTTAAGCCAACGGCACGTGGCGTTCTCAAACGGTCACCCATCCAAGTTTGCACCACGCCCAATGCTGCTTAACTTCGGTGATCGTACGGGAACCGGTGTGACCAGCACGGTATAGCCGTTGACTTTATTATTATTATTATTATTATTATTATTACACGTATTGAACGAACGTCGTTAATGTTTGTTTGACTATAAATATATATATATACAATCGCCGTTAATTTGGTACAGAAATAGAAAGATTAAAGTCGAAGATAAATAGCCTTTTCTCTCTCTCTCTCTCTCTCTCTTTCGGACCCTGAAATTTATTGCTTTTCACGCTCTAAATTTCTATCATTTGGCGTAAAACTGCTGACAGCTAAGACGTATATATTTTCCCTCATTTCGCGCGTATTTCCGGTACCACGTAACGTTTTTCTCATTGAATCGTTGTTGGCAAATATGAAAATTTCAAAAATGATTTTCTTTCTTGAGTTATATTGAATTCACACACGCACGCACGCACGCACGCAACAATGCGATCAATTTATAATCATTATTATCATTGTTATTATCCCCGTCACGTTTTGTCTCTTCGTGTGTACACGCACGCACGCACACACACACACCTTTTAGAACTTGTGAAATCCTTTGACCATTTGTTTCCTCGGAGGCATTTAAAAAAATAATAATAATAATAATATTCCCGGATGTGATATTTTCATGTAATTATACATTCATACCTGGAATACGAAACAACGACCGTGGCCGACCTGAATCGTTTGAATATATATTTTTTTTTAAATATGTCTGCGACCAAAAAAAAAAAAAAAAGCGTTCGTGGTTCGATCGATCGATAGTTGTCGTCGTCGTCGTCGTCATGGTGTTGTTTTCATTGTTTATAAATTTTTTTGTTCGTGGATACGTACGTACGTTTGTTTGTTTGCCCTTAATTTTCCTTTCGTGTAACATTTACTACTACTACTACGATTTGAACCATTTCCTAAAATGGCGGATAATATTCATTCGACATTTAGTATTCTAAACGATGCGTAAATAAAACGCATTCCATTTGAAATTCCTCCCCTTTTCTCCCCTTCCTCCCCGTTGGATTTCCATAATGCGTTAACCATAAAGGAATCATTTGAGATTTTTTTTTTTTTTTTTTTTTTTTGGTTTTCTCTTTCCGGTTTAACCTCGATTGACCGGTTAACGGAATTTTTTTTTTCTTCGTAAAAATATTTTTTTTTTAATATAAGGAAAAATTAGGGGGTGGGGGGGAATTTGGGAGATTTTGTTTGCATGTTGGAAAAAAAAACAGAAAAAAAATTTTTCCCCCGACGGATTTTTTTTTCCCTCCCATTTTAGGGTAATGATTTTTCTTCTGTCGTTTCCGAGTTTCCCATTTTTTTTTTTTTATACATGACGCATTTCACGCATTTATAAAAAATAAATATACAAGCATTACCGTAATTATTATTATTATTATTATTAAGAATATTTTTCAAAAAAAAAATGGAAAAAAACTGGAAAAGTTACGTAGGCGGCTGTGGAAAATTCTTTTTTTTCTTTTTTTTTTTATTATTATTATTATGCTCGCTGGGATGGAAAATATAATGTAATAATTAATTAGAGAGAGAGAGAGAGAGAGCCGGGCTGTGATTGCTGTTGGTGAGACGATCGTAAAAGAAAAAGTTGTTGTTGTTGTTGCTGTTGTCATCCGGGGCGTGATAATTATTCGATTTATGTGCGAAGTTAATTAGTGACCACATTGTGCACATCATATGGTCGTCGTAGGATTTTTTTTTTCCTTTTTTTCCTTTTTTTAAAACCCGCATTTCCTTT